AGCTTATCTAACGTCGTGCATCCCGAAATACATCCAACAATTCAGGTGTGAGTAGTCGCAAGACAACCCGACTGATCTGAGAAGATTTCCCCCCCCCCACCCCAAAAAAAAGCGAGAAACTGACGCAAGAAGCGAACATGGAATGACAGGTATACAAGGACGAGCTGACATTATACACGGCGCCGAGCGGGATCGTGGGGACACTGACGTTCCTGCGGGACCACAAACAGTGCCAATACAAGCAACTCATCGACATCAGCGGCGTCGATTATCCGACCCGCCCCAAACGCTTCGAGGTCGTCTATCATCTCTTGAGCATCCAGTACGCTTCTCGCCTCCGCGTCAAAACTTACGCCGATGAAGTCAGCCCGGTCCCGAGCGTCTCCGGCATCTTTAGGAGCGCCGATTGGTATCTTCTTCCATTCTTCCTCTCTCTCTCTCTCTCTCTCTTCAGTAACACTCATTATTCGGAATGCTTACTGACGATGAGTGTTTTTGGTTGTTGGTTGGTGTGGCTGGGTAGGTTCGAACGGGAAGTCTATGACATGTTTGGCGTCTTCTTCCATAACCATCCCGATCTGAGACGGATCTTGACCGATTACGGGTTCGAAGGATATCCGCTCCGGAAAGATTTCCCATTGACGGTACGATCTCACTCTCTCTCTCTCTTTTACTTCAATCTTGTAAAGTTATTTCAGTTCAAACTGATTGATAAATGGAATTGAATAAAGGGATACACGGAGGTGCGATACGATGAAGAGAAGAAACGGGTGGTCTAGTGAGCACTACATTTCTCTCTGTTTGAAGAGTTTGTTAGGATCACTGAAGCTCAAGGATCCGATGAGCGATTTTTTTTTTTCAGTGAGCCCTTACAACTCTCACAAGCGTTCAGGAACTTCGAGGGAGCCAATTCACCGTGGGAACAGACCGGACATGGGAAGGACCCCAGGCCGGATCACTTCAAGTTACCCACGTTAGCTCTCCTTTTACCCTCGTTCTCATTCATTCTTTTTTTTTTTTTACTGATTCTTATGGGTGTCTGCTTTCTTTCTTGGGGGGATGATAGGCCCGAGCCCACTGCCGATAAACCTAAATCGTCTTGACTTTGAAGGCTCCAATAAACACCTTAATTCTTTCCCTCACTCCTTTTTTCTTATGTCTTGTGTGTTGTACATTCCGGGTGTCCGACATCTTCTGATGAGAAATTGGAGCGACACCTATGTTGATCTCGACTTTACAGACCAACTCAAATCAACTCAAATCAAAACAGTTTTTTATCATATCCCTTTGTTGACTCAAGCGAGATTCATCGACCCTTGTTGATGTTTCTTTTTACTTGGGGACCTTCCTTTCGATTTTTTGACAAGGGTGATGACGTATCTCAAGTGAAGTTTAAGTGAACGTTCTGTGCCGTGTAAGAACCGGAGTTACGTACTACTTACTAATATGTTTATAGAGAGAAGTCGGAAGGAATTCCTGAAACAGTAAGATACTCGGAGATAAATATTAACGCACGTTCATTCCAAAAGAAGAAGTTGTTTGACATAGGCAGATAAACCGATAGGTCAGACCAAAAGTCGAAGGAGCTCCCTATGGAAAGCGAAGTCATGTAATATTTAAGGAGTCTTGTTTATCAGTTGTTTTCCTCTTTCTTCCTTTCCTCATCGCGATATTTTTGTTTTCTTCATTTATCATTGCATTCCGCAAAACTATTATCATCACTTTTAAAGTCATCACATCGTCCGTTTGACAAGACCGCTGCCTGTTAGTTGTCCTTAGCTAGTCTGTTTGACATTCCTTCAAAGACATATTGTCTTGGCGCGTCTACGATAGTACCCTAGTCATTACAATAATATCGCGATCTTTTAAAACCCTTTTATTCAGACTTTATTATGGAGGATACTCAACACGATCGTGTCCAAGAAATCGCCAACGCTCTCTCAAACCTCCAAATCAATCACCAAACCGAACAACAACGTTCAGAATTCCTCACTAATGAGATCTCCTCCCTGAAGATCGACCTCAACTCCATCAAGCTCACCCTTCAAGATGTCACTCAGCGTCTTCTCGCCTTCCACCATCAACTCTCAAATTTCCAAATCCCCGCTCCTGCTCCTCCTCCCTCTCCTCCCCCTCCTCATCCTGCTTTTTCCGACGTTTCCCTCATGCCTCATGCTTCTTTCTCTGGAAACCCGAAAGAGATTAATCAGTTTATTTATTTTGTAAAAGACCGATTGATAGAGGCTGAATCTCGCTTTCTCAATGAGAAGAGTAAGATAAATTGGGTTGTTCGTCATTTTCGTTTCCATAATGATTCTACCTCTCGAATTCCCCCTTCTTATAACTGGTGGATGTCGATATTAAAGGAGAACGCTCGTCTCCAAGATTTAGATACTAAGTCTGTTTCTGCTGAAGACCCGTATATTTTACCTTGTCTAGTCTCTATTAGAAGTTTCTTATCTAAGTTGGAGGAGGTTTTTGCGGATAGAAGTAGTGCAGAAGATGCCAAGAGAGCTTTGTATAATTGTAAACAAGGAAATCAGCCTTTAGATGTTTTTAATTCGTTGTTTAGTTCTCTTGTTTTTGCTGTCGACTTAACTGAAGAAAGCCGGATCGACGTTTATAAGGCATCCCTCAACCCGAAGATTTTGGAAATCGCCATCCAGAAGGATTCTTGGAAGGAGGCGACAACTCTTCGAGCCAAGATGGACCTCGCCATTCTCGCTTCCAACATTTTGGACGAACTCAACACTCTTCGCAGCAATATGTCAATCAAACGCCCAGACTTTCAACTTTTGCGACCACCACCACCACCTCCACCGCCTCAACCAACCCCAGCTTCCACTCCTATGGATATCGATGCCATCACGGCAAGTATCGGTTTCTCCTTCTCAGCTTATCGTGCTCTCTGTGTCAAGAACAAACTCTGTCAGCGTTGTCAAAAGACCTACGATGAGACTCACATCAAGAACCGTTCTTGTCCTAATACGGAGGTCGCCATGAAAGACAAACTCGACCTCTTTTCTCGACTCTCGCGAAGCAACCCCCCAACTACTCATCTCACCCAGATCAACTTGGCACCTGCCCTCCCTTCCTTTCCTGCTGGCTCTTGGGATCATATTGGTCCTGGTTCGTTCGCCGATATGTTAATGTATGGATATGATGGGGACGGACATCCTATTGATGACGATGGCAAGTTCATCTCTTTAATTTCTTCGTTATCATCTCATACACCCCTCTCTCCTCCCTTTTCTTCTTCTAGACTAGTTCTCCCTATTCAACTCCTACTTCCTGGCAACACTTCTATCGTAGCATTGGCTCTTATTGATTCTGGCGCTGGCGATTCTTTTATCAACCATGATTTTGTAAGAACAAAGAACCTTGATCTGACTGACTTGGCTATGCCGTTCTCTTGCAGAAGTTTTGATGGATCACCAGCCTCCTCCGGCGACGTCACAAGGTGCTGGCGCGGACGCATAGCTTTATCTGATTGCCTTAACCACTCTTCTTTATCTTCTGTAGTTCTCAATGTCGTTTCCCTCTCTTCTGTTGATGTAATTCTTGGTCTTCCTTGGCTCAAAGCAAACCGTGCTTGGGTTGGGGGTTCCAACGGACAACTGTATTTCGAACCTACTTCTCTTCGTAACTCGTCTCTTCCAATCTCTTCTCATTCGCTTAATGTTTCTGCTATCACTAATGATATTCATCTGAGTTCCGAAGAAATTCTGTCTTTACCTCCTAAGCTTCGTTCGTTCTCTGATGTTTTTACAGTATCTAGTTTGCAATCTCTACCTCCTGTTCGGCCACAATTTGACCTCAAAATCCAGCTTAAGGAGGGGACTACTCCTCCATTCGGGGGATTGTATAATCTCAGTGAATCCGAGCGAAGACAACTTCGTTCTTATATTGATGAAAACTTGAGTAAGGGTTTCATTCGATTATCTTCTTCACCAGCCGCTGCCCCTATTTTTTTTGTTAAAACCGACGGAAAGGATGATCGACCCTGTGTTGATTATCGGGGTCTTAATGCAATTACTGTACGAGACAGTTATCCTATTCCTGTCCTCTCTTTACTGCTCAACAATTTGGCGGGATGTAAATATCTCTCTAAAGTGGACTTAAAGTCCGCGTTTAATCTCCTTCGCGTTACTCCTGGACAGGAGTATCTTACAGCATTCCGAACCCCTTGGGGGCTTTTTGAGTACATGGTAATGCCGTTTGGCCTGGCTAACGCGCCAGCAACTTTCCAGCGTTTTATTCAATATGTACTTCGTGAATTTATTGACATCTGTTGTTTTGTTTATATTGATGATATTCTTATTTTTTCAAAGACGGAAGAAGAACATTTGACTCACCTTTCTTCCATTTTAGCCAAGCTTCGTGAATTCTTGCTCAAAGCATCTTTGAAGAAGTGTGAATTTTTTCAATCGGAGGTCCAATTCCTTGGTTTCATCATCTCTTCACAGGGTCTGCGCATGGATCCCAAGAAGTTGGACACCATCATTCATTGGCCGCTTCCTGAAACCCTGCGTGGTCTGCGTCGGTTTTTGGGGTTTTGTAATTTCTATCGCAGGTTCATTCCGCATTTTTCTTCGGTGGCTGGTGCGCTTACGGAGTTGACTAAAGAATCGGAATTTCATCCGTCCCGACTCAAAGAAGATAAAGTCTCCCGTTCTTTTGCACTTTTAAAATCTTCTTTTCGCTCCGCTCCCCTACTTTCTCATTTTTCATTCGAAGCTGATCGGGTTGTCCATGTGGACAGCTCGGGATTCGCCATCGCGGGCGTGTTAAGTCAGCCTGATGTTTCAGGAAAACTTCATCCTGTTAGTTTCTTTTCTCGGAAGCTTACTGATCAGGAGAAGGCTTGGCCTATTTTTGATCTGGAGTTATATGCTGTGGTTTCGGCATTTGACGAATGGAGGGCCTGGTTAGCTGGCACTTCGAAGCCTGTTTTGGTTTTTTCGGATCACGCAAATTTAAAGCACTTCATGACTTCAAAGATTCTTTCCCCAAAGCAAGCCCGTTGGGCCTCGTTTTTGGATGGTTTTAACTTTAAACTCTTCCATGTCTCGGGTACGGCCAACCCGGCAGATGGGCCTAGTCGACGCCCAGATTTTCATCCTTCTGAAAAAACCAACTTTCCCAATTCCTTAGTTCCCCGTTTCCCTCTTAATTCTATCGAAACTCAAGCGCATGCGCTCTCCACTCACGATATCTACTTTCAACCTCTTTCTTTAGATTTTAAAGCTAAATTGATAGCTTCTTATGTCTCTCTGACGGAGGACGACAAGAAGGATTATCATTTTAAGGAGGATGTATATTGGTTTAGACACCGAGTATTTGTTCCCTTTGAACTACGAGAGGAGGTTATTCATACTTATCATGAAGATACTCTAGTAGGCCATCCGGGTATAGCCCGGACCCTTTCTTTGTTATTGCGAACTTTTGACTGGCCGTCTATTCGAAAGGATGTTATATCTTTTGTTGGATCATGCGACTCTTGCCAGCGAGTTCGGTTTTCTAGACAACTTCCTATTGGTACTCTGCAACCTTTGCCTGTACCATCTCGACCTTGGAGTGTAATAGGGATGGATTTTATCACCAAACTTCCTATTTCACAAGGTTTTGATTCTATCTTGGTGGTGATCGATTTGCTTAGCAAAGCAACTCATTTTATCCCTACTAGAGAAACCATTACGGCGCAAGACCTGGCGGCTTTGTTCCGAAGAGAAGTTTTTCGTTTACATGGCTTACCTGATAGAATTGTTTCAGATCGCGGAACCACCATGACTAGTGAGTTCTGGCAGAGTTTAATGAAATTACTTAATATAAAGTCGGCTCTTTCTACGGCTTTTCATCCCCAAACAGATGGACAAACCGAGAGAATGAATCAGGTTTTGGAAGATTATTTACGACATTTTGTAGCTTATAATCAGAAGGACTGGTCAAGCAAGTTGGATGTCGCTGAATTTTCTATTAATAATCTTCATTCTACTTCATCAGGAGTTTCGCCTTTCTTTTTTATACATGGTTTTCACCCCCGCTTCAATACTTTGACTACCGCTTCTAAGCGGACTTGTGCTAACCGGTTGATTCAAGATTT